GGGGAAGGATAGATCTGAGCAGAGCAGTTCTGGAGTCTGGAGGCAGAGACCAAGGTAGTGGCACCAGGAGTGCGGAGGAAGGAGTTACTGTGGGAATTCTTAGCAGAGTCAGAATTTGGTGACTCACTGGATGTAGGGGTTAGGAAGTAAGACAACTCACAGATTTCTGGTTGGCAAATCGGGATGGAGGATGGTGTCATTAACCAGGAACAGGTGTGGGAGGCAGAGAATGAGTTCCTTGTTTGTAGGAACCCTTGTTTAGCATGGCAACTTGCATTCAGTTGGCATTTACTAAGTAACTTCTTTAACCCTTCAGAGGCTGCTGAGTGCTCTTGGAGTTTGTGACCCTCTGGGTCATGTGTTTGGTACTGTACTCTAAAACTCTGGCCCTGGTGAGTGTGATCAGCTCCATACTGGCTTGGGTTCTCTCCAATTATATTTAAGACCATTTCCCCCCATCCTATCATACTTCTGTCTCTTTCCTTCTATTGTATCTTTTAGCCCTTTCTTCTGTTTCACGTGCTCCTCTTCCTGCTTTTTACACACAGGGCTTGTTTTCATCCTTCAGAGCCCAGCTCAAATGTCGCCCGTGTGGGGAGTCTTGTCTGGATCTGGCTAAGTGATTGTCTCTCCTCTACAAATCCACCATGACAGACTGCATTGTGGTGCTGTGGCTGGAGCTCTGGGAACTGCATTTCTGGAGGACAGCAGGAGAACCTGCTGGCTTTCTGTTAGATTGGACAATAGGTTGCTTTAAAGGAGCTTGGAAGCTGTGGGAGGAGAGAATGGAGTTGTTGGCTTGTTTCCCTCAGTGTCACCTTGGCAACAGCAAATGTTTCAAGCCTGCATTCTTTTTCACTCTTCAAATTCTGCAGTTGGGCAGGACTCTGCTTTTTTTTTTTTTTTGGGGGTCTGGTCATGGGGCCTGAACTCTGGGCCTGGGTGCTGTCCCTCAGCTCTTCAGCTCAAGGCTAGTGCTCTACCACTTGAGCCACAGCACCACTTCCGGCTTTTTCCTGCTTATGTGGAGCTGAGGAATCGAACCCAGGACCTCATGCATACGAGGCGAGCACTCTACCACTGAGCCACCTTCCCAGCAGCCCCTGGGCAGGACTCTGTACTTTGAGGGTTGTCAAAGTGTGAGATCCTTTGCGCCAAAGGGTTTGACCTCTGAGGTTCTAAATCTGAATTGTAATTTCTTCCTCTCGCCCCTGGCCATATTGTGCCAGCTGATTTCTCTAGATATTAGTTCTAACAATCTGTGTTTCTTTGTGCTTTCCTAGGCCTCCAACATCTCTTTTACTTATTCATACATTAAAGGCTCTCAATAGCATCTCTTAATGTGATTTCTGCCTTTTAAAAAAGATCTGACCTGCCACTGACACTGAATCTGCTTTAGGACTCCAGTTACTCTAACAAATCACTAGATTGTCTTCACAGACATTTCCTAAGGTATATTTAAAGTATTTCCCCAGGCCTCGGAAGGTGGCTCAGTGGTAGAGCGCTTTCCTTGCATGCATGAGGCCCTGGGTTCAATTCCTCAGCACTACATAAGCAGGAAAAAAAAAGCCAGAAGTGGTGCTGTGGCTCAAGTGGTAGAGCGCTAGCCTTGAGCTGAATTGCTGAGGGACAGCGCCCAGGCCTAGAGTTCATGACCAGTACCCCCACCTCCCCCCAAAAAAAGTATTTCCCCCCTGCTTCCAATCTAGTTCTTCCATTGGATAAATATCTCATTCATGTTTGCGTCCTCAGTGCCTACCATGGAGCCTGGCATCGTGTAGGAACCTAGTGATTTGTAAAACCTGAAATTTACAAAAGCTTATACCTTGGTTACTGCTGAAACAATGGCCAGAATGGATTGATTCTTTTCTTTCCCTCCCTCACTCCCTCCCTTCCTTCCTTTTGTGTATGTATGTGTTGTTCCTGGGGCTTGAATTCAGCACCTGGTCCTCTCTCAGCTTTATTGATCGAGGCTAGTGCTCTACCACTTGAGCCATAGCTTCACTTCTGGCTTTTTTGGTGCTTAATTGAAGATAAGAGCCTCATGGACTTTCTTGCTCTAGCTGGCTTTGAACTGTGATCCTCAGGTAGCTAGGATTATAGCCTTGAGCCACTGGTGCCTAACTGGACTGAGCTTTAGCTTTTTGGTTTTAAGTCATCAACAGACTTTGCAACAATGTAATTCTCTTAGAGTCAAGCATATTTCTTATAAGCTTGTCAAGAGTACAATTCATTACTTGATATAGCCCCACTATCATCAGAACAGCAAGGCACACATTTAATTTGCTTGAATTCTTTTTTTTTTGGTCGGGTCGTGGGGCCTGAACTCTGGGCCTGGGCGCTGTCCCTCAGCTCTTCAGCTCAAGGCTAGCCTTGAGCCACAGCACCACTTCCGGCTTTTTTCTTATGTGGTGCTGAGGAATCGAACCCAGGGCCTCAGGCATGCAAGGCAAGCGCTCTACCACTGAGCTGCCTTCCCAGCCCCCTTAGATACATTTTTAAGTTTGTGTTATTAGTAGTAGGATCAAACCTAAGAATTTATGTATGCAAAGGATGTATTCAACCACTAAGCTACATAACTAGCAACAGAAATTTTAATAATGCTATATAAACTGGGTATAGGGGCATGTTCCTGTAGACCCAGCTAGACAGAAGGCTGAGGCAGGGAGCTTTTGGTCAATTTGGGCAACATAGCAACCCTTGTTTTTAAAGGAATAAGAATAAAAGAATAAGAGAAATGGCAGTGCTTAACAACAAATTTGCAATCTTCCTGATTACTTACCAATAGGTCTGCTAACTAATAGCCCATCTCTGGATATGGAGCCCTGAAAGTCTTTCCTTAGCTGACAAATTGGACAATGTACAGCCAAACTTGCTAGGTGGACAGGACAGGTTTCTGGGCATATAATCAGTAAAAACTCCAAAGTCCAAAAACTCAAACAATATAATTGCTGCTCATTCATAAAAGAAAAGGCTGGAAAATGAGTACACAGAAATGTGAGGGAAGCCAGAGAGGAGCTATACTTGTGTTTCTCAGTTGTATGAAAACTGGTTCAATTAAAACACACTTAAGGGGTTAGACACATAACCCAATGGTTAAAAACATGTTTGCTTATGCAAAGGCCCCAGGTTTGAGTCTCACTTCCCACACAACTCACCAATTCAAACCAAGTATGTTCCGAAAGAGGCTGTAGCCCTACTCTATTTATTAGAAATCTCTTTTGAATTGCTGGTAGCTGTCACTATTGCTGTTTGAATGTACTATTTTGCTGGATGTGACAGAGCAAAAGGGTATAGGGTATGACTTAACACAGTACAGTGCTCAGTCTGCTCGCTACCTGCCTCCCAGTGTGACACAAGTGCTGTGTGATTAGTGTGCAGAAGACACACTGCACAGGGCAAAGGAAGAGAGGTGGAGAACTGAAAATATTGTTAGTAGGAAAGAAGTATTTTGTTTCCTTCCTTCTTTCCTTCCTTCCTTCCTTCCTTCCTTCCTTCCTTCCTTCCTTCCTTTCTTCCTTCCTTCCTTCCTTCCTTCCTTTCTCTCTCTCTCCCTCCCTCCCTCCCTCCCTCCTGTTCTGGGACTTGAACTTGGGGCCTGGGCACTGTCCTTGAGCTTCTTTTACTCAAGGCTAGCACTCTGCCACTTGAGTGGTAGAGTGTATGTGGTACTAAGGAATCGAACCCAGGGCTTTATGCATGCTAGGCAAGCACTCTACCACTAAGCCACATTCTCAGTCAGAAAGACATATTTGGAAGGCATCTCCAGGTTGCATCTCCTGCCAGTGGCACACGGTGCCGGGCGGGTGGGGGGGGGGAAGGAGGTTGCACAGGACTTAGGACATGTTTGTGAAGGATGAAGCCCCTCTGAAGGAACATGCCTTGTCATCCTCGGCCACATCGGCTGAGTAGCTGCTCCAAGCTCTGTGTTCAATGCTAGTCGCGGGTGGCATTTCTGTGAGGTGACTGCAATGGTCCACAACACTGAGCTCTTTTCTCCATCTCTGTGCCTGAATATATTTTTTTAGGTACTAGGGTATGGACTCAAGGGCCACGGGCTTGCTATACAGGTGCTCTACCACCTAAGCCATGCTCCTGGTCTTTTTTTTTTTTTAACTTTTTTTTCATTCTTGCCCAGACTGGCCTCAGATTATGTCTTCCTACCTCTGCCTCCAGCATACCTAGAATTATAGGCATATATAACCACTCCTGACTTGTTTGTTGAGATGGGGGTCTCGTTGATCCTCCCAATCTCTGCCTTCTGACCTTTATCTGTATATTCTAATATTGAATACTTAGAGGAAAGTCAGTTCTGCTTCCAGTGCACTGAATGGTTTCATTCATCATGTAAATACATTCTCAGAGAAAGGAAGCCATTGTCCTGATATTGTTAGATTTTTCCTTAAGAACTGAATGAAATTAGTTTAATCTCTAGTTTGTTACAGATCACTGCCTTCCCTTCTTTTCCTTTCCTTTCTCCTTCCCTTCCTTTACTTGTCTCCTTTCCTTCTCCCTCCCTTCCCCCACCCTTCCCTTCCTTCCTCTCTCTTCTCCTCCCCTTTCCATCCCTGTCACAGTGCTTGGGATTGAACCTAGGGGCCTTGCTATGCTAGTCAAGCCCTCTACCCCCGAGCTAACCTCTACTTCCACCTTAGATGTTTTGCTTTCTAAGTCTAAAAAAGAAGTTAGTGAGCTGCATGTTTTCCTGTGACAGGATTTTCTAAAAATCATTTTGTGTAACTCTGGGAAGATTATGTTAGAATGAAAATTACGGTGGAATTAGGACAGAAATCCTCCTAAGAATTTGTTGGGATATGGATGTCACTTTAACACTAATTACTTCAGGTTGTTTAAAGTTTTCAAAATTGCTCTCCTTAATGATACCAAGTAGTCTCTTGCCACATTGAAAACAATTCTTTTCCTAGCCTTTTTATTGTTGTTCTTGTTGTCTTTGAGAAAATTAAATACTGAACTTAATTCAGAACTCAAGTATTATTTACCTGAATGAAATTGCTCTCTAATGTGGGAGGAGCTACAAAAGGAGCATACTCTCCTCCATCCATCTTCTTTTTAATATTTCCAGGGGGGTGAGGCTGTGGGTTGAGTTGGGCAACTGGGTCATCGGTCTTTGGATGGGAATCTTGTTCATTTGTCTTTGGATGAGCATCTTGATCATCCAACTTTTTGTTGTTTTTCTTCATTGTGCTTAGGTAAAAATTAGAAAATTGAGGGAATAAGAATACAATAAACGATATGATATATAGAAAATAGTTATTCCATTTCTCCATTGATTGACAACTTTACACATTCTGGGTGTACTTGACACTGTGCTCGACACTATGGATACATTAAAAAGGACTGAGGAGATCCTGGCCTTAAAGTGTACACTTTAAGGGGTGACCGATAGTAAGGAAGCAAGCAAACAGCAGTAACAAAAAAGGATATTGAATATTAGGCACTATAAATATTCCAGAACAGATACTTGTAATAAAAGTGAGTGGCAGTGTGGGTGGCAACACTTAGGGTGATTAGGTTAGTCTCTAGGAGACTTTGCAATACACTCCCTTCCCCAGGCCATTGTTTTCCTAATTAATGGGAACACTTGCTTTTACATCATGTATAGGTGTCAAGTGTTTTTGTGTAAGTAAAGTAACAAAACTCTCCTAGATTGAGAATACTTCTTCCACACTATTAACCCATACCTGTGCTGTAGCTCTTGGTTGGGAAGTAAATAGTGGATATCTTTCTGATCAATGACAGTTTATCCCTACTCTCTTCATCTTTTTATGAAAGAGCTTCCACAGACAACAGTGACTGTTATTTGATCTCTCAGGACAGTTCTAAAAAGGAAACAAGATCTCAAAGTGTAATGGCCAATAACTTCCATGGAAGCATCCTAAACACCAGTCATCATTAAAGAACTTCCAATCACAAATACAGTGACTTCCTAACTCATACCCATACAATGGAAACTATTTTTTTAAAGCAGTAAATGTTGGCAAGGATGCAGAGAAGCTCAAACTGTTGTGTAATTGGTGGGATGGAAGTGATACAGTTTCTGTGGGAAACAGTACAATGATTCCTTAAAAAAAAATTAGACATAGAAATGGCCCAGAAGTCCACTCGTGGGTATATATCCCAAAGAACTGAAAGTACAGTACCGAAGTAATTTTATTTTTTGGTGGTACTGGGGTTTGAACTCAGGACTTCATACTTGTTAGATAGGTGATCTACTTCCCGAGTCACACCTGCAGCCCTCTGAAGAGACCCTTGTACAGCCATATTTGTAGCAACATTAAATTCATAATAGCCAGCCATTCTTACCTCAACTCAGCCAAGAGTCACAATCCACTGTGGGAGGTGTAAACTCACTTCAGTTTGAGCTTCCTCCTTTTCATGATGAAGCCTTTTGTATATAAAACCAAGAGAGAAAAGAAGCTAATTTCAGTTCTAACATTTACTTGTTACTTGTTGAGGTTCATGTGTTAGTGTCTTACAGCTACACGGTTACAGTTTGGTAGTATCATCTTCAAAACTCCATTTGTTGGAGTCAATCATTGAGAGTGATTGGATCATGAGGGCTCATTGACATAATCATTGGCTTAATCTACTGATGGACTCATACTTGTGTGTACATATTCTTTGTGTATACATTTTAATGGGTTTCATTTAGTCATTTTCATACATGTATATAAATGTTCTTTGATTAGATTGACCCTCTCACTACCCCATCTTGTTCCCCTTCCTTAAGTCTTCCTCCTCTCAAATCAGACTCATCATTTACAGGCAGTATTGGGATGTGGTAGAAACTTTAGGGTGGGGCTGAGTTGGAGCACTGGAGGTGTGTTCTTAGGGGCTATCTCTTGTCCCAAGTTCCTTCCTCATTCTCTGTTTCCTAGCCACCATGAGATGAGCATCTCTGCTCTGCTATTTCCTCCCCAGGGTGCGCTGCCTCACCATAGGCCCAGAAATATGGACAAAATAACCCTGCACTGAAACTGTGACTCAGAACTAATCCTTTCTCCTTTGCTGCTGCTTATATGCCAAGGTATTTTGTCACAGCCATGGAAACAAAGCATAGTTGGAGGGGGTTGCTGTCCACATTTGAGCCAAATTGTTCTTGGTGAGCCTCATTGAGTGCTCAGTCACAAGTCCTCAGCTAGTCCTTACCCTGAAACTGCCAGATAGGGAAACCAGCATTATCCCGAATGTCAGAGGAAATGATATGACTACTGTCATGGGAGGTTGGAGCAGAGATATGACCAGTGAAATATGTAATAGCGTTGTTCATATTAGTGAGCTGAACTTTTATAGTTTATATATATATATACACACATATATGTCAATAAAGAAAATCTTATTTATACTATCATGTTTTATTCATATTATAGATATAATAGAGGCCTATAAAACTCATACTTTAAAAGCAAATTTTAGTATTAAAAAGATTAACCATATTAAGGATTGATTAATGCACATGATGTGTAATGGAAATTCAAGAACATGTTGACTGAGGCATGAATTAGAGCAGAGGCATGAAGCAGGATGGTTAGAGGCTGTTGTGGGGATGCAGAGCTAGCTTCTGTTATAAGTTATTCTACTATGATTGTATATACATCTTTTCTAATCATAGTTTATAATAATTCATTCCTTTTGTTAGGTATCAAAGGTTCTATACATTGAGTTAAGCAGGCAAGATATAGAGAAATATTGTAGGTAAGGACTTGTATTGTGCAGCAAGAACAAGGACAGCCTAGAGGAATCCAATGCAATAGGCCATAACTTATTCTATGCAGCTTCACTTGTTGCTTTTAACCAGCTTTCCTCCCCCTCAGATATTTTTCTATGTTCTTCCAGTTACAATTGAATGAACATTAATTCAGTAGATAGTTACTGCAGAATTTCAGTATAATTTTCATCAGAAAAAGCAGCATTGTTGCCAGGAACCAGTGGCTCACACCTGTAATCCTAGCTACTCAGGAGGCTGAGATCTGAGAAATTCCCATGGGCCTTTTCTCCAATTAGATACAAAAAAGCTAGAAGTGGAGCTGTGGCTCAAGTAGTAAAGTGCTAGCCTTAAGCCAAAGAGCTTAAGGATAGCAGTGAGTCTCTGCGTTCAATCCCCTGGGGGCAGTACAAAAAAGAAAGGAAGAAGGAAGAAAGGAAGCCAGCAAGGAAGCAAGGGAAGCAAAGGAACGGAAAAAGGGAAAGGGAAAGGGAAAGAGAAAGGAAAGCAGAAGAGAAGAGGTTTGATGCTACTCAGGAGGCTGAGAGCTAAGGATCATGGTTCAAGGCCAGCCTAGGCAGGCAACTCTGTGAGACTTTTCTCCAGTTAACCACTAGAAACCTAGAAGTGATGCTGTGGCTCAAAACAGTGTGGCAAAAACAGTTCAGGGACAGTGCCTAGGCCCTGAGGTCAAGCCCTATGACTCATAACAACAACAACACACAATAAAAGAAAAGGAAAAGAGAGAAAGAAAAAGCAGTATTGTTGGCCTTTTGTTTTGTTTTGTTTTTGGTCAGTCGTGGGGCCTGAACTCTGTGCCTGGACGCTGTCCCTCAGCTCTTCAGCTCAAGGCTAGCACTCTACCACTTGAGCTACAGTGCCACTTCCAGTTTTCTGGTGGTTTATTGGAGTCTCACAGACTTTTCCTGCCCAGGCTGACTTTGCACCACAATCCTCAGATCTCAGCCTCCTGAGTAGCTAGGATTATAGGTGTGAGCCACTGGCGCCCAGCTGTTGGCCACTTTTAGTAAAAGGAAGGGCAAAGATATGTCATATTAAATCTGATCGTAGGCCTGACTTCAGTTTCCAAAATGACTAGCAAAACAAACACACAAGAAAACATCCACCACCCCCCACCAACACACACAGAACAAAGTATGGGTCAGCAAAGCAAGTCAATCAAGTACAAGGCCCTGAGTTCAAATCCCAGTTCTATCAAAAAATTAATCCAGAGAGCATTCTGTTATTTTATTTGGTGATATAAGAGTTTGGACTCAGGGCCCCATTCCTTGCTAGGCAGAGTCTGTACAACTTGAGCCATACTTCCAGTCTCTTGTGGAATTGGTTATTTTTGAGGTGGAGGTTCTTGCTTTATGCCTGCTCTGGCCTGGACTGTGATCCTTATATTTGCATTTCCTTGTGTGGTTAGGAATAACAGGTGTGCCACTGCATCAAGCCATTGGTCAAGATGGGGTTTTCTGAACTTTTTATGCCCTAGGCTAGCCTTGAACCATAGCTTGGATTACAGTGTCATTTTAAGACCAAATTGACAGATTATTTTTTTAAGAGAAGGAAATTCAGGCACTAAGTATTAAGTTTTCCCAGTCTTTATAGTTGAGGTTCAAGAAATAAAGCTATAAGTAAAAGAAGATGGAAAGAAAGTAGACATTTTCCCCTCAAATGGCCAGTATTAATTGAACTATTCCGTCAGTCCCTCCTCCATTTGGCTCATACCTAGGTTGCAGTAATCGCCACACACTTACGCAGAGGTGATGCTGAAATAGGCGTCTGGGAACCTCCTGGATGGTGACTAGGAGAATAATCTCCAAATAGCACACTGCCAGTCTTTTCACATCTCTCAACAGAAGGTGTTTTTGGTCTACTAGACCGGCAACTAACCACTTAGCAAAAGCAGCACAAGTCTACGCAGACTGGGCATTGTTCTATTTACACCTGCATCACAATGGCTGCATAGCTCTGAAGTAAGAGTAAAGCACTGGGAAAGGGCAGCCTGCAGACCAGCTCTGAGATGATTGCATTCAGTCCTCCTGTGGAACTGGCTGGTGGTTCTGGTGGTTGAGAAGTTTCCAGGGTTTCCTCAGGAAGAATAATCAATCTACCTATAGTACGATGGGCAAATATGTTGTCTGTGAAAGCTAAAACCCAACCCACATCATTTGTCATTCAGCTGATATGTATTATTCAATCTTCCTGCAATTTAAATATAGGTGAAAAACTTTGAGCATCTGTGAATTTCAAGCTAATATACCATTCTTTCTTTTCCTTCCTTCCTTCCTTCCTTCTTTCCTTCCTCCTCTCTCT